CAACAGAAATGTATTCTCTTTTATAAACGAGTGTATGAGTATATGTGTAGTATTGCACGTGATTGTATTTGAGTTCAGTATTGCACGAGATTGCATTCGAATACGTTATTGCACGATATTGCATTTGAGTATAGTACTTGCACGAGTTTGCATATGAGTACAGTATTGCATGAGTTTGCATAATGAGAATGGTTAGCCAGGTTTGTTTATGAGTATGATTGCTTAGTGCATTTTGAAGCCTTATATATATCCAGTTTGCATGATGAGAACTTGAAAGCATGAAGATAGTTTTCGTATTGATTAATAGTATGAAATTGCTTGTAAGCATGAGTTCGTTATGATGAGCTCGTTGCGATATTTATGTGTTGAAATCTTCATGATGTTAAGTCATTTGTATTGAAGCATGTCTGTCGATATTATAGGTTGTAAGCATATAGAAAATTTGTAATGTATCTAAATTGCTCGTGTGATGAGATCGTAGATTATGTATGTGGTCAAATGTTTTTCCAAAGTATATTCTATAGTACTTTACAAGGTTGAGTGTGGTTATATACTTAGCTTCATGCTAACGGGTGTTTTCCTATTTGTCTATGTGTTGCTTGTAAAACTCCTTTCAGGTGGGCCCAGCGTTGAGAAGTGATCGAGTTAGACTAGTCTAGTAGTTATAGAAGTCTAAACTCTTAATGTTTTGATTATGATGTTACTTATCGGATTTTAGACTTATGCTGTTTTGATGTTGATTGATGATGTAGACATCGGGGTGTCCCTTTTCCCCTTTTGACTTTCTGTTAAGTTTATGGATGTTAGTATTTTATCTTTTGTTCTAGTTCCACCCTTAGCCTGTGCAATCACCACGGAGTGGTGGTTGTGACGGTGACATTCCCACTAATTTTCTTATTAAGTTGTTTATCCGCTGCTTAGTTTATATTAATTATGGATTAGATTTGTAATTAAGTTTTAGAAAAAGTAGGGTGTTACAAATTGGTATCAGAGCGGTACGAACCGCGGGAGACTTAGGCAGTTTGACTCTTAGGATTGAGTATAGAAACTCTATGTGGAAATCCTAGGAAGGACCGATTAGGAAATGACATCTAAGTTGAAACCCTAAGTGGGATTAAGAAGATGAGCTTAAAGGAAATGCTAGGAAGGATAAGATTAGGGAAAGAGCCCTAAGTTATGAAAATTGAGATAAGAAAGACTCTAAGTTCCGTGACTAAGTATGAGAATCAGAGTTAAGAGAAACTCTAAGTATCAATTAGGAACGCGGTGAGTTTGTGAGTTCCCTTGCGTTTGCTTACCTGTTTATGTGCTTTATCAATGTGTTTAAAGTGCTTTTATCTATCTTTTGAAAGTAAAGCAGAGAAGTTATCAGTGAGAAGTTGAAGTGAAAGTTAGAAGTTGAGACTTTGAAAAGTTTGAAAGTGGAAGTTTTGTAAAAGTTGCTAATATGAAAAGTATAAGAGCTTATACTTGTTTCTTGCATATGTGCCTTATTTGTTGTAAGCCTTGCTTTAAGAAAAGGAAAGTTAAAAGCAGTTAATTCTTGAGTATCTCGTTGTGTTCATTGTGTTAATCCTCCATTCTAAATTCTTTGTTGTTGATGGCATGATAATCCTTGAAATTTTATCATTGAGTTTGAGTTTATGCTTTTTTGAAATTTTCTCGTAGCTCGTTATTGATTCCTGAGTCATTCTGACTACTTCCAGTTTGTTTACAATGTCTATCAAAGCTATCTAATGTCTAGAGTTGAGTATGAGAAGTTGTTTTGTTTGAGTTGAGCCTTGAATTATTGCTAATGTCTATTTTTGACATTCTACGATTTATTGTTGAATCTGTATCTAGAATGCTTATAAATTCTTTCTAAGTATTCTTATGAGCTATCGTTGACTTGCAATGCTAGTATAATTGAATCTTGAAGCTAGTATGATCTTGCTGAAAGTCTTATTCTTGGAATCTCATTGTATTTGAATTGAGCTTATATTCCTTGAAGTTCATATTGTTGGAATCCATTGAGTTGTTGAGTCAAGATCTATTCGTTGTTGTTATACCATTGGAATACGAATTTGTTGAGTAATTCCTATGAGCTTATATCTATTGAATATGTTTGAAAGTGTTTTGTTCTTGAAGAGCTATTTTATTGACAATGTGTTCTTTTATACTCTCGGATCTTGTTGCTATAGTCTTGAGATCGTCCATTGTGGTATCCTTTCCTTGCTATTGAGCTTTTGAGCTATTGATTCGAGATCAACTTCCTTTTATATCTTCTTTTAGAACTCACTAGTGTTGATTTATTGCTTGAGATTAAATCCTTATTGCATCTTTATTTGGAATCCGTTAGTATTGAGTTATTTCATTGAGATTATTCTTTGTTGTGTCCATCTCTTGGAATTCGATCCACTGCTTTTGTTTCACAAGACTTTGTTGAACCTTGGAAAATCATAACTTTGATAGTCATGACTTTGGTTGTAAGCAATAGTACTTTCGAGTTTCAAGTTTATAAACCTCTTACTTTCTTCTTTTGTGAAGACGAATTCGATCTTTCAAATCAAGTGTGTACCTATTTGTTGAGTTCCAGTTTTCTAGTGAGTGGTTACTTTGTTTAGCCTTGCTAATACGTTTGATAGTTAAAAGTTGGAAAGTTATGTGATAGTTGTTAATATGATAAGTATGTGAGTTATGTTTGTATCCTTGTTGGTGTGCTTTTGTGGTGCGTACGTAAAGTGTTAGAAGGAGGCAATCGTTAGTGATTAAGTGTAGTTTCTCAGCACCGTAATGGCGCCAAGAAGCAACGTTTGGATCCGGAGCATTCATGGAGTGGATCTTCCCGACATTGAGGCACATCAGATCCAAGGGAGTACACAAAGCCAAAGCAAGAGGAAAGCTAACGAAGACGTGAAGCGAGAAGAGAAGAAGTCAAGACTTAGCCTTTATGATCAAGTCAAGAGCTTTCAAAGGAACCATGACACGGTGGATAACAAGTATAGCCCAAGCCAAAACCCAAGTGTAGCAAGGAGGAACAAGACTGGAGGAAGACATTATCTTTGCAAGAAGTGCGGGAAGGATCACCCAAGAACCAACTGTAGTGGGAACCCAATAAGGTGCTTCAAATGTGGAAGAGTTGGACATCGAGCCTATGAGTGCTTCACAAATCAAAAAGGGAACACCTTAAGTCAAAGACCCGACAAGAGTAGACGTCAACTGAAGAAAAGATCTTATAGTGACTAGTCTGGAAGCAAGAATGACAAGGGTGAACAAAGGGGCACCACAATAGTGTCAAGAACAAGAGAAGTAGGAAGGAAAAGCAAGACCAAAATGGTGGTCGCAGTAATCAGCCGATGAAGAGGGCTCAAGTGAAGATTGTTGGCGTGGAGGTCAGGTACACTCCTAATGAACGCCATATCTGTTTAAGTAACGTAGTTGATTTTGGGAATTTCAACCTTCTGTGGATGTTATGCTGTTGGATTGATAGTGGAGAGACCTTTAAGGGTTAGACTCAAAGGCTAAAAGTTGAATTAGAAACATAGAAAATTGAAACTTATGGGTTATTAATAAGTAAGATGGTTCCTTCTATCTTTAAGAAGTTAAGGAAAAGATGAACTAGGGGTTGTGAATTCCGAAAGAAATGAAGTTTAAGATGATTGACAATGACTTTGGACTTGTGAGGTGTATGAAGGTGAGGAGAAAAGTTGTAAATAAGTAGTGTGTTTTATGAAATATGAGGAATCTAAGAAGTGAATAAGATAAGAAGGGACAAGTAAAAGAATGTAGATGTATGGATGATAAGATGTGTGAGAACTCAAAGAAGAACTTAGTGTTGAGATTGAAGAAGTGGTAAGAACGATGAGAATAAGAGAAGTAACAAAGAAGCTTCGAGTTAGTGAATTCAAGTAGTTAGATTAAGCTTAACGCCTTAGTTGTTTCGGTGCTTGTTTGGAACTCAGAGATTCCATTTCTTCTTTGTATTCCAAGAGAACTCCTAAGCCAATCCTTGAAATTCTTACCATCTTTTCGAAAGCTTCCGTTTTGAGAAAATCCGTCCGTTCCTTCTAAGTTTCGGGACGAAACTTCTTTTAAGGGGGATAGAGTGTAACAACCCAAAATTACTAAAATCAAAATAATATGAACCATTAAGTTTAAGAAACAATTATACCAACATTTTTTTGTTCCAGTTAAGGGCCTAACATTATTGGCTCTGATTAGATTTGTAGATATAAATACATTTGAGCTTATCTATACTTATATTCTATTGATTGATTGATTTACCTCTCTATGATCCTATGTGTTATATGTGAGTATCAAACAAACTATATATTTTTCAAATCTATATCTATATCTATGTTACATGGTTGAGTGATTTATACTTAGCATTATACGCTAACATGTTATTTTTCATGTTTTCCTTATAACCCCTTTCAAGTATGGAGTTTGGTATTGAGAGCGCGCCTTGAAGAGCTAGATAGTTTGATGTCTTTTGTTTCTAGTTCCTAGAATGTAGACATGTTACCCTATCCTCCTATGTCAAGTATTTTGGGATAGGTTGTTTTGCTACGATGTAGCGCTAGATTAGAGTGCCTATCTTTTTGTGGTGCTCGGACATCTGGGTTTGTAAACCCTTATTTTGATGAATGATGAGTTATGACTTCAGTGTGTTTAGTCTTGTAGTCATCCTAGTGTGGGTGACTATGGCGATAGCACTTCCCATAATGATTGATATATGGGTTCCTCTATCTTAATCTAGTGTTTTCCCTTTATCTATATTCTTAAATAAATGATTTAAGTTAGGCTCGTAAGTGTGAAAATGGGGGTATTACAAGCCGGACAGATCATTTGAGAAGATGTAAAGCACGGTGACTCAATGGCTCAGCAGACAGAGTCAAAGGTTGGTGCGCACAAGGATCTGTCCACTTTGAACATAATTTTCACATTATCACTGTCGAAATTAAAACCTTAGTCTCTCCTCCTAAATACTGCTTACTGAACCAATAAGCTAAACATTCATTATTATGTGAAATTGAAACTGTGAAAGTGAAGTAAACCGTAAGTTTGAAAGAAGTTAGCAAAACAACCATACATACGGCATACCTGTCCACCAATTCGCTCACTCATCATCATTATGCAGTAGTCACCATATTCTGATCCTTATATGCAAAACCAATATATACCAGGGTTATGAATAAATAATGTCTGTTGTTTTCAGGATACAGGTTGCATAAAGCACCTACAAATCTAGCTAAAATATCCCTTTTACATAACACCGAAATAAAGTTGCTAAATAACAAAACACGACAGAAAACACAAGATCTATGCACTTGAGATTATCTAATGTCACAAGATGAACAAAGCCATTTTTGTATTTCAAGATTTCCGATCGCTAAAACCAAACCCTATATTTGAAGGAGAAGTCGAAGGCTCAACATTGTTTGCGCATTCCCTTTCCAGAGGATTGTTCTCCACACTCCAGCTCCGCAACCAATTTCTCAAAGAATCCTCTGGTAACCGAAGTGAGATTGCAGAGCTTCCGGCGAAAATCATGGAATTCCTCGGAAGGCTTCGCCTCCGACAGGTAATCTTCCACCTCTTTCTCCGCACAGTGGTGGAGCTTCTCCAGCACGCCCTCCGCCTCGCCTTGCGAGTACTCGAAAAGCTGCTTCCCCGCCGCCTCCTCCGGCAGGTAGTAGCCGTACGCGTAGGTCCACTTCAACACGCGCCGGCACTCCACTATCTGCTCCCACGCCTCCACCAGACACTTCACCTGCGAAAGCGGTTCGCTCTGAATCTCGCTTAGCTTTTTAATCACCTCCCCTCGCGACCGCCGCAAATCCTCCACCGCCTTCTTCCTCGACCTCTCGTTCCCATCCCAACGCTCGTAGTAATGCATGTACTTCTCCCACGTCTTCTTCGCCTTCTCCCGCCTCGTCTCCTCATCCTTATCCTCATTCTCCCTCTTGTACCGGTTGCAGTCGTGTCGCCCCCACTGGCCCAGGCACAGCCAACAAAACTCGTAACTACATAAATAAATATTAATTAGAAAAATTTATAGATAAACTATTATTCATTATTTATGAGAAAATACTATGTATACTCTTAATATTTACTCTCAGTTTGTACTTTCACACACAAAATAATTTTGATGTAGACACTTAAATTAGAATCCAAAAAAATAACATACACAAAACTTTGATGTAGACACTTCATTAATAAAAAAATAACTTATCAAAGTCCCTACATGTCAGGAAGAGTGAAATTTAGGAAGTAAAATTTGTGAGTATATGTAGTATAACTCTTATTTATGTACTAGTATTTTTTTTATGTGCGATGCGCAAAAAATAGGTGCCCAATATTAATACATTATATTACAATTTTAAATTTATTTAGATTTTAGATATTTAAATTATTCTAAATAATAATAATGTAAATCATTTTTATAAGTTTAATATTTATATTTATGTAATAATTAACATATAAATCAAATATTTAATGTGTATATATTATACTAGTATTTTATATGCGCGATGCGCAAAAAATATATGCCCAATATTAAAATTAAATATTAAAATCTTAGTTATATTAATTTTTTAAAAATAATTGTGTGTTTGTGTGTGTGTATATATATATATATATAATATATAATTGTATAATTTATATTAATATTATTGAGGTAAGAATTATAGAAATGATAATTTACTAAATATACCTATGGTAATATTTTAATTAAAACCTAAATGAATTCAAACTTACCATTGAAAGATGTAAGAAAAAATATTGTGTATGCATGTACATGGTAATAATAATGTGGAAAGATAACAGAAGTTATAACGGCAGGGATATTTTTGTCCAAAAAATTATGTATTACAACTTTTATAGCACAAAGGTACAAAAAAACTAACGAGAAACATGGACATAAACCAGGGGTATAACCTGGATTGAAGCTTATTATGTTTTTAGATATTATTAATGAAGAAGATAAGAAAATATATGGTGGATGCATGTGCATGGGTTATAGTGGAAAAGATAACGAAAGTTTATAACGGTAGGAGTATGTTTGTCCAAAATATTTTAATGTACAACCTTTATAGCATAATTAAAAAAAAAAAAAACTTAACGGAAGAAACAGACATAGGGTATAACTTTCATTCACACTTATTATGTTTTCAGACTATTGCTTTAAAATACAAAAAAAAAAAAAAAAAAAAAAAAAAAAAAAAAAAACTACTCAAAATAATTTTTTGATAAATTTTTTAAAAAAGTCTATGCATATAATCAGCTATCAATTAGCAGCATATAAACAATTACCAATTAACAATTAATTTATCAAATACTTACAAGCAAGGTGCGGCGCAAGTCATGTGCATGCATCCAAGGTTTTTCTCGATTGGGCGTTTACACTTGGGACAGAGTTTGGAATGCGAAAGAATCCAATTTGCGTTTTCGGCGTCGGAGACGTTTTTGATCATCCACTTGGCCACGGTGTCGCAGTCCACCGGCCGGTGATTGTCCTCCAAGCAGTTCCAGCAAAAAGTGTGCGAGCATTCACATACGACGTCGTAGTAATCGGCGTTCCACGTATCGAACTTCACCGCGAAATCGCACCCGGGGCCCGGGCACCATTTGATCATCCGGTTTTGCTCCACGTAAGACCTGAGGAGATACCGCCGGTACTTGGCTATGTCTTCCTCATCGGCGACTGATTCGAGCGTCTCCGCCACTACGGCGGCGTTGCAGCCTGCCCAGGGGCAGCGGAGCTTGAAGAGGCAACCCGGCCCGTCCTTGATCAGCGATTGAATCCACGATTTGAAACACGCGACGCAGAAAACGTGGCCGCAGCCGCAAGAGGCGGCGGTGCTTTCGGAGAGAGGATATTCGTCGCCGCAAATTTCGCACCGGAATTTCTCGCGCTCTCCGAATCGGATCGGGGAAGTTTGGCTCTCCGGCAACAACCCCGCCGCTTTCCGGACCTTTTCCTCATCCGCGAACCATTCCTCCGGCACCTTGCTCACGCTCCAACTGTTCGCGAGTAGCAAAACGCAAGCTTCCCCTCTACGCAACGAAAGTGTAGTAGAGACTTCGTTAATGTCGTCTTCGAGGAGTACGCGAATGTCTTCCTCCTTCAAGATACTGTAACTTAGCTTTCGGGTAGAAGAATCCTCGCCGCCGTCTTCGTCGGAACCTTCATACTCTATGTTGAAATCTCCATCATCTACGTCGGAATCCTCATAATCTAGGTTGAAATCTCCATCATCTACGTCGGAGTAAGCCATATCCCAATTAACTTGCTGATGCCGAAACTTCCGATGTCGGCGGCTTTGTAGTTTGAACTCCGACTGGTAATATAGGAATCCCAAATTTGATTTTCTTGTGTATTACGTTAAGGATTCCGGAATTAGTAGAATTCTAGGGCGAAGGGAAATAAGGAGGATATTCATAGAATCATAGTACGGTGGAGACTCTTCAATTTATATTTACATCATCATCAATAAATAATGAAAAAAGTTAAATAAAGTATCCAACTCATCGTCAAAATCTAATTAGTCACTATTCACTAAACGGGAAAAAATTGGTACAATTAGATAACTTTATAAAGATTTTATTTTAATAAAATTTCATTTTGATCCATTGACTTTATACATATATCAATTTTGGTCCTTAACTATTATTATTTTCAAATTAGGTGCATAACTATATAATTTGTATCACATTTGATCATGTCATCCAATTTTCCAGCCAAGTTTTCGGCCAACTATTCCTGAAATTTCAACAAGAAAAATAAATTTTTCGACAATAGTTGGCTGAAAATACCCTTCCACAAACATTTAGTGTGATATTTATAGGAGTTTGGGGGCCTTAATTATTTTTTTTGTTAATATGTTATTGTTATTATTTGGAATAAGGATTAAATAGGTCATCGAAGTACACACAAAATTTCATTTGGACCACTAAACTAAAAAAAATTACAATTAGGTCCATATACTAACGAATACCATGCAATTTTTTCAATTTCTCAGTTTTAGAGCAACTTTAATTGTGGTAATTTTTTATGCATTTTTTTTTTGCAGGTCAAGTAGGAAAGAGGAGACAGAAAAAAAAGAGAGAAAAAGAAAAAAAGAAAAAAAACGGTTATGACAAAGAAAAAAAACGCACTCATTGACGCCAGTTGGCATGTGCAGTGCTAGACGCGACAGTCCGCAAAATATGCAAATTACGCATAATTATCATCATTTCTGGGGCCTACAAAGAACTTGTCTTTGCAAGAGGAAAAATTGAGAAAAAAAAAAAAAAAAAAAAAGGCTCCCTCCTATTAGCACAAAAATTTACCCCAAGTTTTTGTTCTAAAAATCACCCCAAAAAAGAGTTAATTTCATTTGTAGTCCTAGATTTATAGGTGAGAGTCCACTTTTAGCCCTTTTTCTATCAGAATATCTCCAATTGGTCCTAGTATTATTGTGGCATGACCATTTTTTGTCCTCTATCAACAAAATCGTTGAAATGCCACTAAATACAATGACATTGTGATATTTTTAATACATAGTGTGTTGACCCATTATATTTTTATGTTTATTTTTTTTGAAAAACATTAATAATTGAAGATCAAAACGTCATTGTATTTAACGACATTTAAACTGTTTTATTGATAGATGACAAAAAATGGTCATGCCGCAATAATAATAGGACTAAAAGAGGATGTTTTGACAAAAAAAAAAAAAACAAAAAAAAAAAAAAAAAAAAACAAAAAAAGTGGACTGACACCTATTTAATGCATGACCAAAAAAGAAATTAACTTTTAAAAAAAATACTAATATGGTTGCTCTTACATGTTCTCATCATATTGCCATGCCAGTTGGCTGCTATGTGGCATTTTTAATTACTTCACCTCAGTCCCCTTCTGCAGGCAACTTCATCGTGCCTTCAGTAGTTTAGCCGCATAAACACCTCATTAAGCCACCGCCTGTGTAACAACCCAAAATTTTATTTTATAAATCTAATTTTAAGAAATTTCAAAATAGTCATTTTCACTCTATTTAAAAATTTTGCGATTGATTGGTGTTTGAATAAATTATTTTGGACACATTTTAAATTAATTCAACACCAAAATTTCTTTTTAATCCAAAATCCTAAATTTTCGAGTACCTCGCATACCCAGTTTTAAATTGAGAAACCAATCTAAGTGAGGCCGGGAGAATTCTAAGAAGCTTTAAACAAGTGTTCATCTAGAAAACTTTTTGAGAAAATTCCTTTTCAACCCCAAAGTATTTAAAATAGCAATTCTAGCCCTTGGTCCATGGAGCATGGTGGACCACTAGACATCCAAAACCCTTTCCTACCTCATCTTTTAGCCAATGAAAATTACTCATTTGCCCTCCACCAATCATTGAAGATTATCCTAGGGTTTTGAGCCATATAAATAGAATAATAACCTCATTTTTTTACCTGATCCCATTTCTTTGCCTCTCTTTGAGCTCTCTGTGGAAGGAGAAAACAAAACACAGTAAGTTTCCTTAGCCTTCCATTCATCTTCCTTCTTAGGGTTTTCATCTCTGTTAGGAATAAAGTGTAATGGTTTTGATATGCCAAATTTGTATTTGTAGATCCCCCAAATTTTATTTATAGGTCTAGTAGAGTCTTAGACCGTGATCGGGAAATTATTTAATTATGAAAAGAGAAAAACAGAGGAAGATGCATGAAAATAGAAGAATAAGATATCAAGCCGAAAATCAAGAATTTGTCTGGAGAAAATGACAAATTGAAGAAGAAGATGAATGATATGAAATCACGTCAATGCTACTCAAAGAAGATATCCCAGAAGAATTTTCTTGAAGAAAATTAATATTGGAAGAATGCATGAAATTGACTTGGAGATCAAGCATCTATGGAAAGAAAGAAGTACATCAAATGTGATTGGAGATTTAATCAAAAGCTGTACGGACGAAGTGGATGATGCTTGATATATTATCTGAAATGGCTTAAGTTCAAAACTCACCATCACTTGTAAAATTTGAGAAGTCAAATTAAATTAATCTGATGGAGTTGGGCGCTAGTTTAAAGGTGGAAATTGGGAAGCAATTTCACTTGGGTGGCAATTGAGATGCAATTGCACTTGGTTATAGTATGGGATTCAAAGCAAGTTGGGGACCGAGTATGGGATTCAAAGCAAGTTGGGGACCGATTCAAAGAAGACATGGAGATCAAATTGAACTCCCAAGGGAGCCAATTGAGGTTGTAGTATGGGATTCAAAGCAAGGACATGGAGATAAAATTGAACTCCCAAGGGATTCAAATACCAGGAGAAGTCTGGGAGCCTGGGAGCCAATTTCAAAGCACCAGGAGCAATTCAAATTGGGAAGCAATTGAAAGCACTAGGAGCAGTGTTTGTAGTATGGGATTCAAAGCAAGTTGGGGACCGATTCAAAGAAGACCCGGAGCAGTGTTTGTAGTATGGGATTCAAAGCAAGTTGGGGACCGATTCAAAGAAGACGGCATGGAGATCAAATTGAATTGAGATATTCAAATTGGGAAGCAATTGAAAGCTGTTTGTAGTATGGGATTCAAAGCAAGTTGGGGACCGATTCAAAGAAGACATTGGAGATCAAATTGAATTGAGATATTCAAATTGGGAAGCAATTGAAAGCACCAGGGGCAAGACATGGAGATCAAATTGAATTGAGATATTCAAATTAGGAAGCAATTGAAAGCACCAGGAGCAATTCAAATTGGGAAGCAATTGAAAGCACTAGGAGTAGTATGGGATTCAAAGCAAGTTGGGGACCGATTCAAAGAAGACATGGAGATCAAATTGAATTGAGATATTCAAATTGGGAAGCAATTGAAAGCACCAGGGGCAAGACATGGAGATCAAATTGAATTGAGATATTCAAATTGGGTTGGGAAGCAATTGAAAGCACCAGGGGCAAGACATGGAGATCAAATTGAATTGAGATATTCAAATTGGGAAGCAATTGAAAGCAAAGCAATTGAAAGCACTAGGAGTAGTATGGGATTCAAAGCAAGTTGGGGACCGATTCAAAGAAGACATGGAGATCAAATTGAATTGAGATATTCAAATTGGGAAGCAATTGAAAGCACCAGGGGCAAGACATGGAGATCAAATTGAATTGAGATATTCAAATTGGGAAGCAATTGAAAGCACCAGGAGCAATTCAAATTGGGAAGCAATTGAAAGCACTAGGAGCAGTGTTTGTAGTATGGGATTCAAAGGAGCAGTGTTTGTAGTATGGGATTCAAAGCAAGTTGGGGACCGATTCAAAGAAGACCCGATTCAAAGAAGACATGGAGATCAAATTGAATTGAGATGAAATTCAAATACCAGGAGAAGTCTGGGAGCCAATTTCAAAGTCAAAGTCAACAATTCAAATTGGGAAGCAATTGAAAGCACCAGGAGCAATTCAAATTGGGAAGCAATTGAAAGCACCAGGAGCAGTGTTGGGAGCCAATTACAATGGCCAATTACAAGCCAACTGGGAAGCACACCCAGACGTGAGAATGAAGAAGATGAAGATGAACTTACAGTGAAAATATTCTCACAAGGAAAAATACTAGTTTAACTAGTATGGGATTAAATTAATGAATATTTTTAAATCCCAAAGATACAAGGACCACTTCAGAGCTGATCAGAGAAGCCATTCTACACCAAAACAGAGACCCAGATATTCTCACTCAACGTTAAACCAGAGGAATATCAGATGAAGTTTGGGAGTTCATTTACATGGAGATGAAGATCCATCAAACGGCTAGCTTATCTCTTTCTGACATTTTTGCAGAAGATAAGATAAGATCTCTGACAAAAGATACAAGATTTCAAAAATGAGAGCGTCCCTTTCCAACGGACAGATTCTCATTACCAGCTATAAAATGATGAAGATATGAAGACTTGAAGAAGCACGGAGCAGAGAAAAATATACGAGCAAAGAGCTAAAATTCTAAGAGCTAAAATCTTCAAGTGAGAAGTGTGAGAAAAAGAACTCAGAGAGCTTAAAAGAGAAATATTCTGAGAGTTCTTAAACAGAGCAAATCAGAGCAAAAATATCAAGTGCTTTACTTGATATATTCAAAGAGAGAAAACACTCAGAGCTATCAAGAGAAATCATTCCAGAGTGTTTATCTTCATCAAAGAGACCTGCGCATCATTGAAGATCAACTACAGAGTCTCAGAAGTTGGAAGCAAGACAACACTTGTTTTGGAGCAAAACAAGAGAAGGGAGGAAA